GCCAATCATATAAATTTTAAATAACCAATAAATTTACACCACAAATCAAGTCGTAACAGTAATACATGTAGTAACACTCCACTTTTCAGTTTCACTAAATAAATTATGGAAAACACTACTAACACCGATACTAACAGCAATAGTAACGATGATGTTATAGATGACGAACGATTGATACTTAATGTTGGTGGAATCAAGGTATATTGGAAGATAAAGTTACAAATCTAGTTTCTAATTTTATTTTTATTAATTTCTGTTATTCTTTTACGTGTAGTATGAGACACATCGTTCAACATTGATCGCATATCCAGATACCTTTCTGGGTGTAATGTTTCAGCAACGAAATAATGCAATGCTGAAAAGTAATTCAGACAATCCAAATCAGCCAAAAGAATATTTCTTTGATAGAAATGGACGTGTATTTCATTACATCATGGAATTCTATCGAACTGGCAAGATTTCATTCCCTAATAGTAATATTTATTATACTACCACTACTACGAATAATGATAATGACAATTATGATAATAATAATTATTGGTTCAGCAAAAATTTCACAAATCAACTAAACGGCCAAAACAAACATGAAAATTCACAATATTACTTTATAAAAAACTTTGACATCACTCAAGCCGAAATACTTCAGGAATTCGATTATTTCCAAATTCCTATTCCAACAAATCCTTATCCACCCGCATCCGCGACAATAAACCACTTTATTCTAACACTCCAACGAATCATCCACGAGATGGAAGCGAATCTTATGCAACGAGTAGAAATCATTTTTCCGTGGCAGGACAAAACGAAATTCAATCTTAGTCCGGATCTGGAAACGATTCGTGAAATATTGACACCGTTTATCACCGTTACGGGATATAATATCTTGGAGGGGTTTGGCGACGATATTGTGAAATATCTAATGAAAAATACGCCGGGATTTTTTTGTTCATTACGAGAAAGAGAACCAAGTGGAAATTATCCTCCGAGATTCGCCTTTGTTATGCAGTTGCCTATGTCAGCTTTTCCGAGAGAAATTAGAAATGGCACTTTTCTTGTTGAATTGGGAGAAGATGAGGAAAATCATGAGGACGATGAGGTGGATGATAATTTTTCGGATTAATAGACTTAACTATTCCATTGCTATTTTATTTATGATAATGTAGTTTTGAAACAACCTGTTTTTAATTTATAGCTAAAAATATAAGTAAAAATAATATTTCGCAGTTTGAATTAGAAAAATATTTATAAAACTGTTGATGCAACCTCTTCCTTGATAAGTGTAT